AGGGGGCCACCATGATGCAGTTTACTTGGCATCTGAAAATACATTTCCTCAAAGGTATTTTTAATCTGAAAGGAGCTTCACTGAGTGAGCAGTAGAGTTAGCTCAGCTGGCAGTTTAAGTTTCACTTTCACTTTCACCCGCAGGAGTCATGGGCGGGGTGTGTGGGGAGGTGTGTGGGGTGCTCTGCCATGAGTAAGTTCAGCTTAAAGACACGTCCCAGATGCATTTCTGGTACCAAAAGGCGTTTCTGGTCCCCACCTGTCGTTTTGCTCCTCAGCATGGCTTCCTAAAAACGCTGCAGGATTTCTCAAACATGCATGAATGAGTCAAAGCAAGGCTTTGGGCATGTTTTTTATGAGAGTATAACATTATAACATGATATAAAACTCAACAAAGTTGATTTTACATGATATTGCCCCTTTAATACCATTTAACTTCCAAAACATTACTAGTATCCTTTGATCAGGATTTTAAAATTGTCCTTTAGAGTTTGCTTTATTATTCAGAATTATTCCTTCTGTCTTTTGTGCCAAGTCATTCTGGCTCAAATGCAACAAACCAGAACAAATTATAATAATACCACCACCGTGCTTTACAGCTGAGATGTAATGCTTATCCTCGAATGTTCGGTTTCTCTGTTAGCAAATGTAAGATGTATWTATGGTGTCAAAAACAGATCTGCTTACATTGAACCCCACAAATAAATAAAACCATTTATTGCTTTATTGTGATCTTTGCTGAAAATTTAATGTTTTGAAAAGGCCTCAGTTTTGTTCTATTTTATGCATTCTGTTAAAGTTTTCTTTCAGTTTGCTTTATTGGTCAGAATTCATCACTTTTTTACACGTCTGGTTTATATGTTACAAAGCTGAATCAGTTTATAATACTTCCACTACCGTGCTTTACAGTTTTGTGATTTGTATGCTATTATGCTGAAAGCAAAAGGAATTTCTAAGTACGTTTGAGCCAAAGCTTCAACTTGGACTTCATTTTCCTTTCTGTCACTCAAGCTAGGTGCATAGTTGACACGTTGAGCACTCCACAGAAGTGATGAGTCGTCTTTCTCCTCAAATTAAATTTTACTGTTTGAGAGGATCAACAACTGTTTTTTTTTCCTTTCTAGGATCAATATTTGGAGTCAAAAACTGTAGATGTTTTAAAGACTGTTTYGCTTCTTTTTGATCTATTGGAAATACTATTTTAAAATCTTTCAACATTGGAACTTGAGAAATGTTTGATTTCCAAGCATTAAGAATCTTTACAGTCCAGAGTTATGACAACTACAAGCAGGAAAAATCCATTTAGGTWACTCTGAGTCTAACAAAGCTGTTTAAAACAAATCTATCAGCTGGAAACCTTCAGAGATTTAAGACACAAATGTGATTTCTGAGCTTTGTTCTCACTCAAAAGCAGAGCTCTCCTTCCTGATTGTCTTTTTAGAAGCTCAAAAATGTGGGAGAGTCGAAATGAGGAGTGATTAAGAGCATTTCTTCACTGATTACAATTTCTTGCAGATGGCTTGTTGGGTACTTTAATGATTCCCTTTTTAGTAGGAAAAAAAAAACGTTCCAGGATCAAAAGGTTGTATTTACTTGGTGTGGTTATGATGTCCGCTGTCTGACCTTGTTAGTTGCAGCCTAAAATAAGTGAATAAGTTTGAGGTTTGTTCTCCAAACAACTTGTCTTGTTGTTCTTTTTTTTTACCTGGAAAATTGCTGCTGCAGTGAGACCATCTGCACCCGTCCCTGCTCCGAGTCCTCCGTCACTTCCCGGAGACGCTTCTCGCTCTCCAGTCGCAGGCGTCGCTCTTCCTCTAGCTCGTGGATCAGCTTTTCTCGCTGGGGAGAAAAAAAAACAAGAGGAGAAGGGTTTACATTTACAGTTGTCTGCCACGTTTACACCCCTGATTGATGATGATGAAAGATTATRATCATTTGAAGTTAACTGGCAACAGGTCAGCAGGAGCACCGACTATAAAAGAGCATTTTAGAGAGACTGAATGTCTCACAAGTAAAGATAGGCAGAGGTTCACCAGTCTGTGTCACAAATTCATAAAAAAAACATCCTAATCTGGAGAAATCTCTGTGCTCAAATGATGAGGCTGAAATTATAGATTAGACACTCGGGCCCTCAGGGGCCACAGCACTGAAAACTGGTATGATTCTGTTCTGGACATCACGGGCTCCTGAACACAGTACAACGTACCATTCGCACATGCTGGTTAAAGCTCTTTTCTGAAAAATAAATAAATAAATAAATAAATAAATAAATAAATAAATAAATAAATAAATAAATAAATAAATAAATAAATAAATGGTATGGGGTGCATTACACTGCAAAAACTGTCCACCTAACCAAGTTTTAAAATCTTATATGCAGCCAAAAAGTCTTTTTGATATTGTTTTGAGACTGATTTACTAAACAAGAACTGATTGTGTAAGAATAATAATCTTGTTTTCAGAATGTGTAAGATTATTTGTCTAGTTAGCTTGAAAATTTGACTCAAATTAAGTCAAAATATCTGCCAGTGGAGTAAGAAGATTTTACTTGGTAAGATTCTTGAAATACTTGATTTGACTCGATTTTTTCTTATTTCAAGAATCTTACCAAGTAAAATTTTCTTACTCCATTGGCAGATATTTTTTTACTTAATTTGAGTTTTTGTTTAGTAAATCAGTCTCAAAACAAGATCAAAAAGATTTTTTTTTTTTGGCTGGATATAAGATTTTAAAACTTGGTAAGTTGGACAGTTTTTACAGTGTACTGCTTCTGGCAATGCACAGCTTACACATCTAGAAAGGCACCATCAATGCAAAAACAGCAAATCCATGTTTTAGAACAACATATTGCTGCCACTCAGATATCGTGTTCAGAGAAGGTCTTGTTTATTTCAGCAAGACATTGCTAAACTTCATGCTGCATCGTTCCAACAGCATGGGTTCACAGTAGAAGAGTCCAGGTGCTGAACTGGGCCACAAGCAGTCTAGACCTGTCACCGACTGAATATTTGGTACACCATAAAACAAATACCCAAACAATGACGACCCAGGACTGTAAGAATCATACAATATAAACGTTTGAGAGCAAAGGTTCACCACATGTATTTGCAGTCTTACAGGCCCTTTAATGCTTTAAATGTGAAAGAAGATGAGAGTGTAAGGGCAGGGTGACATTTAGGCTGTCAAGATTGGCTCTGCTCGTGACAGTTTGTTGTTGCATTATAAGGTAGAGAACAAGGCTCCATTTTTATTCTGCCTCTTAAACACAAAGTTCATATGAAAATGCCAAAACAGCATCACTCGTGAGACTTTGCCTTTTTCTCCACGATTATCTTCAAGAGGTTGCTTTAAGAATGTTTCTTTATTATTGGTAAAAAATGACCTCATGGGATACAAGGAGCTGTCAGCACTGCAGGTGAAAGATGGTATTTTCTATAATTGGGCTGCAAAGTGAAAGTTCGACTGTTTGGGATGTAAAGAGATGATTTGATGCTTTTGCACCGATATTTTAGAGCTGATCTAAGATCTTTTTTGAGCAAGACCATCCACCCATTTCCCCCCCGTCTCCACCAAGGATCTAAAATTATTTTAATTAATGGACAGATTGAATCAAAACTCTCAAAAATAAAAGTCATCTAATGTACATCTAGAACTATGATTTGGAACCAACCCTATTCAAAATGGCTGCCACAGCAAGTAACTGAGACTCATACAATAAACAATAAACAGCAGTTTCCCCGAAGTCATCAACTTCATGTTTAAATCTTGCCATTAGCACACATTTTAAATACAACCATGWACAATAACAGACTGGTCACAGTCCAACACTTTTAGGTTTCTGGTGTTATTGTTGAACTGCTGAATTCACAGAAAGTGAGACGTCTTGTATGTAATTTTCCCCACCTCCTCCCCAGCGTTTCCTATCCATCCTCTGAGTCTGACCACAGAAAAGCATTATGAGGTCATCTAGTGGTAAAAAATGAGTACAACAGCTGTGGCTAACTGGGTGGAAAACACCTCAAAACATTCCTATTTTAACAAATTCTTTAACAAGAGCGTATTAGAAACATTTTTTTGTTTATGTTTAATGTTGTAAACTTCAAACATTAAAACACTCAAATATTAAGGGCTTGCATATTATACATTCCTCCTTGGTTTTGCCTTATTTGTCACACTGCTCAGAAATCTGGGGAAATGCAAGTAAAACAAACAATGATGTATTAGTTAAGTTGCAGGAAAAAAGCTATAAACTTTATTAATAAAGTGGAATATCGTGAACCCACTGATRAACTCTTCATTGGAAGTAACATATTAAAATTTAAAGATATTGTTTATATAAAAATACTGGAAATAATAAAGCATTGAACAGAAGTCTTCCTTCTGGTATTCAGAAATTCGAGGTTTATTTATATTTGAATGTGCAAAAGAGAAGAGCCAGGTAAAGTCGAGATGTGTTTCAGATGTTGGTGTGAAACTGTGGAATGAATTGAATGATGATCTTAAGTTATRTGCTTTATTGGTGAGCTTTGAAAGAGCTCTGAAAGGTAAAATGATAACATCTTACGYTGTTATGTAGATTTATTTATGTATTGTGAAGATATGTTGGTAGGTTGTTGAGCATAAAATAGGGTAGGCAAGAATAAGCTTGGCTTCAGCCTATCCCTTTTTTTTTGGTAAATTAGGAGTTTGTTTATTGTTTCCATTTTGTTTGTTGTTGTTTTTAATGATTAATGTGAAAGATTTACCAAAAATGAAGTGATTGATTGATTGGTTGATTGAACGGTTGATTGATTGATTGATTGATTGATTGATTGGTTGGTTGGTTGGTTGGTTGGTTGGTTGGTTGGT